GATGAAAGAAGAGTGTCTACTCTTTCTTTTGGTGTGTTCGGTGTTTACATAGTCATAGCACAAACTATTCTGTGGCTCTTGAAAAATCAGTAAAAATGCTCAAAAAACTCTGGCAGTATGGGACTCTGTTCTGAAAATGGCTGCCAGTCAATGAGTTAAGAAGCACAATATCTGAAAGCTTGAAAACAGAATAAGTGTGAGGTGTTTCCCACCTTCCAGCATGGAGAGGTGCATGGCGTCGTTGGCCTTCTTGGGAACGCTGAGCATCACCTCCAGGCCGTCCTTTATCTCTCCTTTACCCTCTTCACAGCACGTCAGCAGCTCCTGAACACACACAAACCGTGAGATTAATTAGTCCGGTCAAGATCCGATACCTGGATCCGATCGGCGCAGATCCAGACTCCAGATCCAGCCTTCAGACTCTGGATCTCTCTGCCATCTGACATCCCAAATACGCACTCTCCCTCTTTTCAAAATAAAACTCAAATCCCACCTGTTTAACATTTCTTACCCACTTCACCCCCCCTGACTCCAACATGCCCCTCTTTCTGCACAGTTTTAGTCATTTAATTTTTATTCAATTCATTTATGATGTTTTTATTTATGATGTATTTATGACTTTGTATGTTTCTTATTTTTCAATTAGGCTGGTCCTGATCTGATATCTGGATCAGGAAAAAAACGCAGATCTAGACTCCAGATCCAGTTTTGTTTTTAAAAGTCCGATCCCGCATTAGCATTAGCATTAGCATCTGTAACCCAAAGGTCCGTGTCCTAACCATTAAGTTGTTATCAGAGCATTAGCATTAGCATCTGTAACCACAGGTCTGTGTCCTAACCATTAAGATGTTATCAGAGTATTAGCATTAGCATTAGCATCTGTAACCACAGGTCTGTGTCCTAACCATTAAGTTGTTATCAGAGTAAATCCCTGTTCAACATGAGTCTGACAACTAAGTAAGTAGATGAATAACTTTAGACTTTAACACATGCTCTGATAGGCCAGGATCGGATCGGAAGTGAACAAAGCTGGATGGGGACATCCCTAGTTGTAAATGAGGAAAAAGCCACTTAGAAATACTTAGAAACAGTTAGTCCACTTTAACAGTACCTTAAAAAAACAAAGCAGTCGGTAACACTAAGGGATCAAATCTAAAGTATCCAACAGTTTTACATATGTGATAAAACAAAATGGACAGTAGTTTGTTGTCCACTGAAGAAAAATGGGCTGCTTTTGAGTTTTTTATCCAAACGGCCAGCGGTTTATAACCTCCTGCTAT